GCGAAGGTCTGGCCATTTGCAGGGCAAAGGCAGTACCTCCATTTTTCAGTCATTTTAAGACCCTGAGTGTTGGTCCGGTCCTGGGAATTGAACACACGACCTCCTGCTCTGCAGTCAAGTGCTCTACCAACTGAGCTTATCCTGGCGTGGTTACTGCAGGAAACAGGTTCATTGAATTGACTGTTTCTGTTAAGTACTAGTGTTGGATAAAATTTAACCACGATATTTACCTTTTTGTCCAGGAGGCTTTGGAAGAAATCTGGCCAAAGGTAGGAGCTTCATTGGATCAATAAAAAACTGGTGGAGAAGGAATCACAAAATTAACTGAAGAGAAAATGCGTGGCTGGCTACCAAAATTAAGCCACAATAATTGTGGCTTAATTTTGGTATAATTATTATAAACTATCTCATGTACATGTATGATTTTGTGTCCACACATCTCTGTACTGATCAAGTCATCACATCCGTGGATGTACAGTACATTTTTTTCTCCTGTCTCATATTTAAGCTCAGCCATGAAGCCCTGTGCAAACAGATGCAACACTATGTCCGTTTGCACATCCTGTTGCATGTTGTTGTGTGTTGTTGGGAGTTGTAGAGCAAAGTTTGAAACCAGTCAAACTTTAAGCAACAACTCTCAACATTGTTGGCCATAGCTTAAAAAGTAATTTAAAAATATTCCATGAGACTACATTCACAGTGGAGCACTGTTGATATGACCACTGTTGGACCCATCTGGGTGCTTGTGTTAGTAAGGTAGCATCACATTATGTTATTAAGTCCTTTGAAACTAGCTGATGCCTTGTATATTTCTTATTAGTATATACTAAAACAGTGGATAGTGTTTTTCGTGCGCTCTGATTGGCTACTCAATCAGTGAATATCCTGCACTTTTTACTGATTCACTTCTAGTTCCTCCTAGTGAACAACGCCAAACTCGCGTAAGTTGCGAGCAAAATGCCTTCCTGGTTTGCTGCCGTAAACAAACAAAGAAATTTCACCACTAATCAAGCAAGCTGTTTCCGAAATACACGAAGAAGGTGACGAAGTTCGCATTGGAAGTTTTAACAGGTAAAGCTTTGTCTTTTTGACACAAATTTATCGATAGAACCGGTGAAAAAGTTTTTGTTTACAAATGCAAATTAAGTTTAAGTCTTGCTTACTTTATCTAGTTGAGTTGTTCATAAATAAGCTTAAAACTAAATTTAATAATCTTTTTTTATAGAATGATTTTAACCCATTCGCCCCTGAACCGCCCGTAACCGCCCGTGCGGATCCAGGTCCTTTCTACCCTTTGTGACGTCATCAGTTTCAACGGTCAAGGACAACTTTCTTCGGTAACTTGTGCAGAGTGAAGAGATCTTTCAAACCATACCAGAATGACCACAATTCAGTCAAGGACACCGGAGAAAGAAGCAAAAAACCACGTGACAAGGACCTGAAAATCTCCATGAAAATCTTGTTCCATTACCCACCTACCTTTCCTTTCACCTAATCCTAAGATCCTAAAAGCTTTCCTAAAAACTCTTCCCACCAAAATGAAGCCTACTAAATGCCCAGCAAGAGAAAAAAAAAATGAGGCAAGAAAAGCGAAAAAAGAAGGGAGGAGAGAAAGCGAAAAGTAAAAGTCAAGACTGCTGTGTCACTTTTAAACCCAAAAACTATGTCGAAATTTTGCTTTCTGCGCATGCCCGAACTTCGCAAGCTGATATTTTGCATCTGGATCAGAAGGCCGCCAAGTGTACGACCTGTAGACCGGTTTGTGGTAAGTTTTAGCTCTTTATAGCACGACAGTGACCAGAAAACCACTCGACTAGCTTCAAAACGCGTTTTTCGGCAAAATCTCCAGGAGCGAATGGGTTAAATACAAAAAGAATTCACAACTCCTTTTGAAGAAATTTCCCTGCAAGAGCTAAAAAAATGCCTTCAAAAGTTTTAATTGTCGGCAAGAAAAAGCGACGGCCGCAGCCGCCCGGTCATTACGCG